AACTGGTTCTCCTCGCATGAATTGTAATGTCACAGATGACCAGGCTTTAAATCTTGCAAGAAAATTATCAAGGTGAAGAATTTATATTGTAGTAGCTGTTGGTTATGGATTTATATACTTCTTCGTGATGCCAATTTCTATCCTGTATTCCATTGTCTGCATTGTGTAACTTGAGGGTTAGTTATTTTTGTATACTGAAAACACAATGGTGAAGCTCAATCATGCTAACTCACTTTAAAAGCTGGATGGAGTTATTGTCTGCTGCATAGGCAATTATAGAAGCATTTTTTTGTCCTCTATATTTTTATTAAACTTTTTTTTGGTCAAGTTTTCCTTGGCAATCAGTGTGGGCACATAACTATTTTATTTTCCTCCTGAGTGTGGTTGTATGCTGTGAATTGTTGATGCATTGGCAATTCTTTGTTTTCATTGGCAATTGATTTAGATTTTGCTGGACATGTTATTCTTCTTCCAATTTCTGACTTGTTTTTGCCATTGCATTGGTTGTAGGTGCTGGAGACGGTTTGTGAAGTTGAGAGGAACTACTTTTTCTTTAGCAAAAGCTTTTGAGGATTTGAATATCAATGATAAATCAGTCAAGACGATGCCTTTCGAACAGCTTGCAGTTCTTATTGAGTCAGATACGACTTTGAAGGTCGTGAAATCTTTGGTTGATCGGCTTGAAGTCCGTCTCAGGGTCCGACAGGGAACTAGTGGTTCCTTTGGGTTGGAAAATATTGATCACCTGCTGAAGCGTGTTAGTAGTCCAGTGCGCAGGCGCAATGGAAGCCATGCATCCAGGACCAGGGGGCAAAAGAGAGCTGTATCTAGGGGAGAAGGAACTCATGGCCCCCGTAAATTATCTAGATATGCTGTGAGGATTGTTCTTTGTGCCTATATGATACTGGGTCACCCAGATGCCGTTCTAAGTGGTAAAGGTGGGCATGAGACAGCCCTTACTGAGGCTGCTGTGAAGTTTATTCAGGAGTTTGAGTTATTGATCAGGATAATAATAGAAGGTTCCTGTGTCAAATCTACATCAGGGGAAAATCTTGCAAGTTTTAGGTCGCAGCTGGAGACATTTGATAAAGCATGGTGCTCGTATCTTTATTGCTTTGTTGTATGGAAGGTCAAGGATGCTAGACTACTAGAGGAGGATTTGGTGAGGGCTGCTTGCCAGATGGAGCTATCTATGATGCATACCTGTAAGCTGACACCTGAGGGAGACAATAGTGGTCTTACTCATGACATGAAGGCTATTCAGAAGCAGGTAAGGAATTAGCAGAACTTTATCTTTTACATTCCATACAATTCTTTGTTAATTTCATAATTTGATGGTCCCCTTGAATAATTTGGATGATGCTAGGTGATGGAAGATCAGACACTTCTTAAGGCAAAAGTGCAGGATTTGGGTGGTGATGCTGGCATTGAACGCATGGAGAATGCTATTTCTGATGTGCGATCCAAATTCTTTGCATCAAGGGAGTCTGGAAGTCCATTTGCATCCCCTGTAGCTCATATATCATCTCCTGGTTATTCTAGTTCATCAGACAGCTCACCATCTTCAGTCTCTGGTGAAGCAAGCAGCATGGCTGGTGGAAGTGCAAGACCAAGCGCTGTGGTACGGTCGTTGTTTAAGGAAGATGATATAACTGCAGGCCAAGCATTGATTTCATCTGTACCAGAAGAACGCGGTGCAGATGTCCAACTAAGCAGTGACATAGAGCCAGTCACTGAGAATGAACTCTTGGTAAATGAGATAGTCCATGAACATCGTCATGGTTTCGCCGATAAGCTTTACATGGATGATCAAGATGACAGTGGTATCAAGGTGTGTTCATGTTGCGTTGGTGCCGTTTGTTCTTGTTTTTTTTTTGAAATATTTGATGGATGCATTAGTCGTGTGCTTGTATTGGCTTACACATGTGAAGTCTTGAACCTGTCATATGTCCATGCAGGCTCAAATTAAAGAGGCGATGGAGAAAGCATTTTGGGACGGCATCATGGAATCTATGCAGCAGGAGCTGCCTGATTTTAGCTGGGTTCTTAAACTCATGACAGAAGTTAGGGATGAACTGTGCGAAATGTCTCCCAATGCCTGGCGACAAGAGATTACTGATACGATCGATATAGATATCCTTTCACAGGTAGTTTAATTGTTTTTATCCCCCCTACACATCATAGATAGACCATGTTTTCTTTAATTGAAAAAAGTGTTTCGATCTGAAATGTCTAAGGTCTGGTCTGCTTTCATATTTTGTTAGATTCATATTATTTGGTATCTTGTTTGATTTGTCCTATTGTGTTTTGTATAATATAGAATTCCAATTTTCATATTTTTGATTAATACAGGATTAAAGATATTTGACAATAATTACCAAAGATAAGATTATCTATTTTGTTTTGGTCTGGTTTGGTATATGTTTTTATGGTCTGATCTGATGTGGTCTAATCTTAATAATGATAAGTAATAAGTTTATAGAATATTGTGGAGAAAACATAACCTTATTTGTAGTCATTTAATTTTTTTATAGGTTTAGAGCCTCTTTATCATACTCCCTCCTATTTGCATTAGTTGCAACAGTAGGCTTGGCTCATAGTTTAAGAAAATTATACACTAGGCTTATAGGCTTATAATATAAAGTATTGTTAGTAAGACATAGAAATAATAAAAAAAGTAGTGTGAGTGGGGTTGGTAAGAAAGAGAAATAATAAAATATTTGTGAAAGTGGGGTTAGTGGGAGAGAGAAATTATAAAATAATGTTGGGTTCTTTCCAAATATAGTAGTGTTGCAATTAATATGAAACGGCCGAAAATGCAAAGTGTTGCAACTAATGCAAAACGGAGGGAGTAGCTATATTATTATATGCATGTTGATGACTGTCCTTCGTCTTTTTAGGTTTTAAGTGCTGGAACATTGGACATAACTTACCTGGGAAAATTACTGGAGTATGCACTGACAACTCTGCAAAAGTTGTCAGCCCCAGTAAATGATGATGAGAGGAAGGCTGCTCACCTGAACATGTTGAAAGAACTGAATGAGGCCTCGCATTCTGGAGATAATACAAAATCTTCTTTTGCCATATCAATTGTCAAGGGTCTTCATTTTGTCCTAAATGAGAGTCAGGTTTGTTGCTCTTTGTGTCTTTGTTTAGGTTCTTTATCTCTTTGCAATAACATTTTAATGAATTCATTTTATTTACGACGTTCGTGTTGTATTTTATTTTATTATGTAGAAACTGAAGAAAGAGATAAGCAGAGCACGTATCAGAATTATTGAGCCAATGATACAAGGGCCTGCTGGATTGGACTATTTACAAAAAGCTTTTTCAAATCGATATGGATCACCTTCTGATGCTTTTTCTTCATTACCATTGACAATGAGTTGGATGACTTCAACGAGCACTAATTTGGAGCGGGAGTGGGATGAATACTTGGATTCACTGTCAACGTTGCCAGATATCCAGGTGACATCTCCTCAGGGGATACCACCAACTACTCTTCGCACGGGGGGAAGTTTTTCAGTGTTGTCGAGGATACGCTCATTGGTACCAACCACCACTGGTATGATGCTGGAAATTTGATGAGCATCTCATTTTTTTTTATTTCGGACAAATTTATAAGGAGTCCATTATTTAGAGATTATATGGCATCCATATCGAGTTCTCTTAAAATCAAGTACCAAATCATACTGCAATTTTTTAGAAATTCTTTCACAATTGTTGAGAAGCAACATGTAGATAAATAGGTCAAAATTATGGTGGACTTCCATTTAAACTCTTTGATCTTACATACTTTCAGGTAAAGAGCAACCGGAATGCAGAGGAGATAGGACAGATTTGTTTCTCAGGGTTGGTTTATTGAATTTAGTGAGTGAGATTGAAGGTCTGGTACAAGAATCTCTGCCTGAAACTTTGAAACTTAACGTATCTAGACTAAGAGAAGTTCAGTCTCAACTGCAGAAGATCATTGTTATTTCCACAAGGTTTGTGTAACTTCTCTCCTATCTTCCCTTCTGCTTGCATGTAACATTGGATGGTTGTAAACATTCACTCTTTTTTTTTTGCAGTATGCTGCTTCTTCGACAAGCCCTTCTTAGTGAACACATGGTAACTAACCCATCAGACATGGAGAACATAATCTCTCAAGCTGCCAAACAGCTTTCGGAGTTGCTCGATAAGGTTGAAGATGTTGGTATTGCTGATATTGTCAAAGCAATTATTGAGCTCCCAGATGATGTTAACCTTGTTATCAACTTGGAAAAGCTGCGAGAAAAGAGGGGTGTGGTGGAGAACATGCTGTCAAAGAGCCTGAAATCTGGGGATGCGATCTTTACGCATGTTTCTCGAGCTGTTTACTTGGCCGTAAGAGCTGCCATGTTCGGTGGCACCGGAAGCAAGGGTAGGCAATTGGTGGAGATGGCACTTCGGCGTGTGGGAGCTACTTTGCTCACTGACAAGGTAGTCGAAATTGCAGAAGTTCTTATTGGTATGGCAGTTGTGTCTGCCAGTGTACATGGACCATGGTATGAGCAGCTGCTGAAGAATGTTTAATTTGTTAAAATAAATCATAGTGGGGGAGTGCTTTTTAAACATATCCCAAAATCATTGTATATACTGTAAATATAATTATGTGTAGCAAGGAAGTAGGGTGTGGCGAATTAGTCATTCGATCAATTATGATGTAAATAACATTTGGCATTTGGAAGTCTTAATAAATATTGTTCCTGCTGTTCTAGTTTTATGCTCCTATACTACCGCTATTTGAACAAAATTTGACTTATCTGAAATTGTATTGCATTTTTTTGTGTATGGCGTAGTGTCAACTACCAAGATAATTGTTTGGAAGTCACATTGTTCTAATGTCACCTGGATTTTAATTTGAAGTTAAACAAGATATTAATTTTGATTTTCTGTAGTTTGATGTAGGAAATAGTAGCACTTAACTTGAATTTTAATATTTATGATGATTGTAAAAAAGAGAAGGCAAAAAAAGGGGATTGATAAATTGAAAAATGAAAACTGAAACTATGAGATTAATCGGAACTTGTTATATGAACGTTTAGGGGCAAAGCTGATGCTGATACAATTTCAAAACCACAGTAAAAATCTAACAAACTACACAGACAAAAAATAGTAAAAGCCCTAAGCTACAAATCATGGCGTCAACTGTATTTTTGTGGCTTGAGCATTCAAAGTTGATGGAAAACCTCTTTAACCTCCATGAGTACCATGACGAAAAACAAGAACAGATCGATATAGGGCAGCTACATGCAAGAAGCAAGTAAGTACCAGGATCAGATCATCCACAAGGCCAATGATTCCAAGTACTCCTGAAAAAGGAAAAAATTGCAGATGTAAAATTGCTCCTTTAACGGCCAATGCATACAATTTTAGCAGTTTGTACAATGATAGAGCAAATTTACCTTCGGGAATAATGTCCACTGGACTCAATACATATATGGCACTGCAAAACACCTGAAATTACAATGCTGAAGGTTACTCTATGCACAATTCACTTCAGAACAAAAAATAGAGTGTGGGTTAGCAGGTTCACTTAACTGCCAAATAAATTCGAGCTCTGATTATAAATGGCAGAGATCTTTGAGGATCCATCAAATCACGCAATAACCTTCGAAGAAGAAAGGGAAGGTCTCGCAATCTCTGAGAATACGCAAGAGATTAGTTGAACAAGGAAAATATAGGTATCCCGAAACTATATACATAAAAGTAGAAGCCACCATCGATCCATGACAGGAAGGGAGTCAATTTATTTTTTTTCCTTTGTATGTAGTTGTGGTTTAAAAAGGGAACAAGAATTTGAGATTAGCATGCAAGCTTATACATATGGTATATCACAGTCAGGTATTCTAGTATTATTGAGGACCAACAAGGGAATACTCCAATTGCAAACATACAGTATTAATCATGTTCAACGACAAGATTTCAGCAGTTTTTGAGCTCAAAATTGCAGCATCCTTAAGTGTAAAGCAATAAACTTTAATTATGCAACTCCAACAGGAAATAACATGAGGTTTAATTCAGAATTCAGGGTATAAGGTCTTAAACTGGACAAATTAAACTATATCTGCAGCAAACTTATGAAGAAGCAACGAATCATGTAAAATGATACATGAACCAGAAAGTCTCCATCTATGATACCAATGCAGGTCTACCATCTCGATGATACCTACTGCCCCTGCTTTATACTATGCAAAAATATGAACAAACCAACCTAAAGAATAGTCTAATGAGTCCAAAATGTCGATTTATATATTATCCCTCCCTCAAAACTAAAGATTCACTATAAGTTCTCTAATGTAACCTTTATAAAAATAAGTACCTGCATGAAATCACTGGAGCGTTCACCATATTGACGGTTATATAATTCAATCCTCCCTATAATATTTGCAACTTCTGGATTAGCCCGTTGTTCCCGGGAAGATTCAGTAGGTATTAACAAACTAATGGGACGGCGACACAAAGGACATAAGCATGGTCGCAATGCTGATGCATGATCCCAAACTCGTAAAATACAACCCCCTGTATTGTTAATAAAACATGAATCAGTCAATAATAGCACTTGGTTGCAAACATGCCAAACAATGATAACAAAGGAAATTTCTTAGTCTTCTACCATTTCAACAATAACAAAAATTACAGCAACTCCATGTTATATACTTGTAAAGTTATAATTTATAAATACATATCCTCAAATTGTTGGTTTTAAGGTAAAAGTGTTCTTAAAAATAATTTCCTTCAATCAAATTCTCAACCAAAAGTGGTGAGATTGCAGTCAACTATCTGTGAGGTTTACGTTTTATATATCAGAAATCACATACAACTTTTTTTATATATGATTTATCTCATTGACTTCAGTATATGATCTATCTGATGAACATGTTAGCATGGTCCCAAACCAAACAACAAATGTGTTTCCTACAAGTTCTTAGTAAGGTGCCTGGTATAAACACATCCAACCCAAAACTAAGGGCGGTCTTGAGGAAAATATAGTCTATGGTCCTATACCAACCTGAAAAAGAGATAACGAAAACAGGTCTAGACAACCAACAAACATCATCCAATTTGCATCAAGGAACTAAGCAAATTAAAAATGTACCACCACCCTCATAAAACTCAAGCAAAGATTTCAACATTTATGGGTTAAACAAGTGAACTAAGTTATGTCATAAAAGCAGTTCCACTCCTTAGGTTAGGATTTTACTCCAGTGAGCTAACATCATGGCATGAAAATAGTGTAAAGATCAGTCAATTAAACAACCACCCTAAAATAGGTCAATTTGGGCGAGCAAATTACCGCCCAAACATCAATTTACCAAAAATACAAATCTCATTAGAAAACCCGATGCATCAACCCAATTGTAAAAAGCTAATCATTATTGTAGTCTTGTAGAGCTATAGACCTGTAGTTGCTAAATCAATCACCTTCAACATTTCCACAACAACCATTGAATAGACGAATTCGAGTAAGCATATTACCACTCAAACATCAATTTATCAAAAGATGAAGCTCATAAGCAAACCTATTGCATCAATTGTGATCAATGTGATCTGGCTAAATCACATTATTACACCATCATCAATTCTCACATTTTCCTTCCTCACAAGGATAATAATATTACTACATTAGTAAAAATAAATCACTCCCAAGTTCAACAATTCATCCTACCATAAATTAAAACCCCCTAAGATCGCAAGATGTAAACTTTATTTCTTTGATTAATTCATATACACATATACAAAGCAACCCAGAAAAGTTTCCATCTTTTAAATTCTTACATTCAGAAAAAACCCAGAACAGAAAACCAGCCTTCCAATTTCAATAATCAACAATTTAATTTCATGCTACACATTATATATATTCATTAAATTCTTAAGCTAAATAAAAATGAAGGATTATGAATTAATAAAGAGAGAAGAGAGAGAAAGTAACCGCAAAACCAGTGAGAGCAATTAGCCTGGCAAGGAATGTTGAAGTTGTCATGGCAAATCGTACAGCAATCGTTCACAGGTGGACCATCTCCCTCCATTTTTTCTTTTCTTTTCTTTTTTTTCTCTTGTCAATCAATTTTTTCTCTTTAAAATGGAAAATTTTCTGTTTTTCTTGGTTATTTCTTGGTATTTGATTCTGGGGTTCTCTCCTTCATTGCTAAGAAAAATCACAATCATCCTCAATTTAATGCGTCGTGTGATTTGATGTCTAAATCCAATTAATTAAAATACTGATTTGTAGGCGGTGGCCCAATTTAAGTGTTCTTCTCTTTAATTTGTTTTTTTTTTTCTTTTTTTTTTTTTTTGGAGGGCTGTTTTTAGCCCCATAAGAGGTTGGCATTGGGCGAAATCGGGTATACGGTCATATTTTCATGAAACATTTTTTAGCTTGTTTAACGACATCTCCTTCTAATTGGAAACAATAAACGATTGAATTTTGTTTATGTGAAACTCGGAATTAGTCGATTCTCAATAAATAGTATTCGTAAAAGGTAAAGTTTCAAATTTTATACAAGTGTGGAACATATGCTTTGAGGTTACTAATTTGAAATGATTACTCTAAATTTAACTAAAACTAATATATGTGGATCATGAGCTTATTAGCGCTTATGAGCTTGGAGGCTTTTATTAGCTTTGCATAGAGCTAATTGGTCATAAAATTTCACATGTTCTAACTATACACTTAATTTTCTTGGAATAAGACAAAATAAGGTGATAATAATATAGTTAGATTTCACTTTGATTTGCCAATACTATTTTACAATATTTTGCCCAAGAATTAGCTTTCCTAGTAGTAGCACTTTGAATTCCGATTCCTAAAGAGTCAATAACCTAGTCTTCAATTCATATAATGTAATTTCGATAATATGCTCACTTGATGGATGATTTTGGCACACCTCAATGTGAGAGCACTTCTATGCTCTTCTCACATAGGAGTGTGTCAAAATCAATTAAGGGTGTGCCAAAATCAATTTCTCATTAGTCAATAGATACTTTGGTAAGTTAACAATAAAATTATAAATTTAAATCTGAAAAAAAAGATTAATTGATACATTATTGATCCCCTCAAAAGATATAATGATTTAAGTATTTGTTTTCAACTTCAATCTCTAAACACTCATCAATCATTATGGTCAGTATCTATGAGGTTTAGCATTCCTCTTAATTTAATCATTTTGAATAACTTACAGCTTCTCAACATAGAATGAGGTCAAAAGCAAGTATACATACTTTGGTCCAAGAGATGTTGACATCAATTCATGAGAGCAACAAATATCTGATATTTAACACAAGATATTACTCAAGATATTGTAAGTACACAAAATGAAAGGCTCCTTTTTTTCTGAAAAAACAAAAAAAAAACTTTGAAGTTCATCAATTAAAAAAAAATAAATAAAAAAAAATGGAGCTAGCTTCACCATGTTGTTCTAATTTTCCTTCAATAATTAGCATCAACAAAACCAAATTCTCTCTATTTAGCTCGTATCATCGGTTAAGCTTGCCTCCATCATCTTCTTCTTCATTTCTAAGCTCTGTATGTTTCCATTATCTGCTCTCTATTCTATTTTATTTTATTTTTATTTTGTACTTTATGTTATTGAGAAAAATATTAAATTGTTTACTGGGAATTTGTTGTTGAAATTTATATCATATACACTATACAACATCATTTGATTTTGAAAAAACAATGGCATTCATATATATATGTGACGTTTAACATAACATAATGGCAATTTGATAATTTTGATGAATTTTTGAAATGCGTGTTATGTGTGTTGCAAGATTTGGGTTGATCTTTCACTTGTAATTTGTGAAGCTAGTTGCTTGCAATAGCATTATTTGTGCTTTTAGAGTAGGATTACATGCCGAATTAAACCTTTATCTTGGCAGATATTTCTAAATAACAAGTCACTTTCTAAATTTAGTAGGTTAAAATTTGAAATTTCTCATATCGCACTTAATGATATACTTCAAACTTTGCAAGAATGACAATAAAAATATGGTGGAAGAAGTTTGCTTAGTGAAATATTGGTTGGTAGATAAATCACTTTTGTCGAAAATTCCCTAACAAATGGCATACTAAACTTACTTTTATTTATTGATATAATGATATTGGTTAACAAAGTATATGCAACATCAGTTTCTTAACTGTGATGTTTCAGTTTGATTACAGAAAAGATGCAATTCGGCATTCAAGAGACGCGCCATACCATCTTTCATACAAAAGAAGACATCACGCTCAGTAGTATGCTGCAGCCAACTTAAGGTGGAAGATGACATAGATAATGCAGAGGCATGCGAGTTGGTGAATGGAGCAGAGCTTGAAATAGGAGATTGCAACAATACTATTCGTGCCTCTCTCTTCCAGGCCGTCAAGAACAACAATGGATCTGGCATTCTACTCTTGACAGACATATTTGGTTTTGAGGATTCTTACACCAGAGATTTTGCCTACCGCGTTGCTTGCAATGGCTACAAGTACGTACGTTTCCCTATTGTTGGTATTCCTTTCTGAATGAAACTAAGCAATACAACATTGCTGAATATAGCATGAACATAGATGTCATATGAGCATATATGTTGACCATGAGAAATTATCATGTGGTGAGGAGTTTTAGTGTCGTCTGTGGTCTTAACTAATACCAGTAAGACAACGAAACTTGGAGAATTCGCTAGATATGCGCTTATGCTAACATAAACACTGGAGGAAATGACTATGTTTGAAACTGCAGTATCAAATTGATTATGGACTCTATTATTAATTCAAGAACACTACCATAAATGTCATATGACTTTGAGTACGTTTGAAACTGCAGTGTATTAGTGCCTGATCTTTTCCGTGGCGATCCTTGGTCCAAGGACCAATCACAAGCTCAATTGGAGCAGTGGCTAGCCAAACAGGATCCCAGCAGGATGGCAACAGACATTGCAACATCAACCAAATGGATGGTCGATGAGTTTATGGCAGCTGATTCTTCTAGAAAGCTTGGCATAATAGGATTCTGCTATGGAGGTGGGCGAGTACTAGACGTGCTAGCCAGAGACCAAGACTCTGTTTTTGTCACTGGTGTTTCTTTCTACGGAACACAAATGAATTTATCTACTGCTTCCAATGTGAAGGTACCAGTTCTGTTTGTAACAGGGGATAATGACCCTCTTTGTCAGGTTCACATCCTCAATGAATTAGGGAACGTAATTGGGAACAACTCAAAGGTAATTGTTTTTGAAGGTAGAGGACATGGATTTGTCCATAGACCCGAAACTCCAGAAGAAGATGCAGATGCAGAGGAAGCTTTCATGATCATGAGAAATTGGCTACAAAATCAGTTGCTAGAATAGGTTTGAGTTGTCTATTGTTTAAATAGTTGCGTTAAGCTATCTGATGGTATCAATGAAGTAAAAGAATACATCAACCCAAGGGTTCTATGAACCCTAAAAGGCAGCACCATGTACTTGGATCTCCAAACGAACTATATGAAATGCGTGTTAACTAGAAAGATTTTATTTTAAGTGCTGAACACATTAGCTATAGAATTTTATTTTTCTTTCTTTTCAATTTCTGTTCTCCTGATTGGAACTCCAAATCATGGTAACATTACAAGACAAAAAGGAATTGTTTCGTGAAAATTTTGCAGTACATTAAGGGTACAATGACCCATCAAAACAATTTTCGGCACTACAATAGGATAACAGTTATGTAAAGTGAACTTAAGTAAGAAGCCCTTCTCACTTGTTCCTCGGACATATGTAACTCAACTCAAAGTCACTTTTGCACATCCTGTAAAGAGAAGATATTAATTAATATGCAAACCGAAAAACTCAAAAGGATCTGAAAACTCAAATGAATTCACAAAACAAAGATTTATGAGAGAAAAAACTAAGCAGATTTTGGATTGGCATAGTTGTATATAAAGAAGGCTGCTTGATATGAGAGGAATTCCTATTGTATACTCCTTCATATCTATTAAAGACACCAAAGTACATTGCCCAAAAACATAATCAGAATTTTTGTTACTTCGGCAGTTTACATGTCCAAAGTGAAGTCACTTGAATTATTAATTAGAAAATAGAGATAAAGAAAGAGAACAAGGTGGACAACTTAAACGTTTGAAAACAGGCAAACAGGGAACCAAAAAAGTGAAAAGCTAACATTGTGAAGCAGATGAGCAGCTTGAAAACTGCATCTGCTCAAAAGTAAGAGTCAAGAGCAGCATGATGAATCATGGGCCAAGGTTTTCTAAGAAACATATATTAATGAAGATCCTCACTTTTTAATCACTCCAATCAACTCCAGAGTTCTTCCAGTTGCCCTCTTGAGTTTAAATTTTAGATCTTTCATCTATAGTCCCTAGCATATCACTCTCTCCACTAGTTTGAGTAGTTTCTCATAAGATGAAACCCAAGCATGAAAAGCATCGAGCCATCTTCAACTTATATAATGAGCTTCTCTCTTCACTAGCCTCCAAACAGAGACAACCAACTCAGAAACCTTGGGAGTCTCACGCATCTACATAGCTATTACATAAATAATATAAGATCGAATAGCTAAAGACAAGATCTCAGAACCAGCACATACCAGATTACAATGAAAAAGAGAGACATCTGACTAGTGGGAGTCTCACACATCTACATCACGCTTACACTAATGGTCAAATCTACATCAAATTAAATAGCAGAAAGCCAAATTTCAGAGCCAGCACATATCAGGTAACTAATGAAAGAGGGAGAAATCTGACTAGCAGAGCTCTTTCTTATGCAGTGACACTTCCAAAATTAAATGAGACCATTCATACCTCTTTAACCCAGGGAGAAACAAATCAAGCAGGAGAGAGCTACACTAAGATCACACAATCCTACTGCTCACAGTTAGCACATTAATAATACTAATTTCCTACATTGATGATCTCAATTATTCATGCACATCATAGTGCACAATTCCAAGTTTATTTCAGCAAATATTGAAATAGGTACAGCTCAAGATAAATACTCATCCATTTAGAGTCAGTCAACTAGCAGAATCATTCCTTTGCCAACAATACTCATTAGTCAAGTAAGCTTAGTTTAAAATCACTATATAGTTAGAACATTCCTGTACATAGTAAAACTGGTGAGAGAGTGTTCCCTGCCCACATCCTCTAAAATCCTTTCTAGCTACTCTATAGAATCCTGAATTTGACATTAAAAATTGTACTAGGTTTAGTTGATCCCATCAGCTACTCTGTGACATACTTGTATACCATAGACAAACACTTTGCAACTTAAGTTGCCATGACATTATGTAACTCCAATCAATTGAGAGCCAACCCACCCACTATCTCTTCAATCAAGGCCATACCATGAAAAGTATCAAAGTCATCATCACTTATCACAACACTTCAACCAGGAACTATGTGTTCTCATCCATCAAACATAGTCTCAAGTCTATCTGTTTAAACCATATCGTGTGTAACCAATATACTAAGCATAATCCAGTCTCATGAAAATCAAAGTCACTCTCTCTTAAAAGCTCACATAATTGAAACAAAATTTTAATTAGCAACTTAAGTTTTTTCATATAAAAATAAATATTGATTTTGTAACCTTATAAATATCAAGCTAATGTTAACCTATTCTACATTGCCTCCAATTACCCAATCAGATACAAAGTAAATGCTTTCAATACAATAATATACAAACAAAAGGAGATTAACTTACCTGAGAAACAGGGGAGTCAGATATGTTTGAAGACCTCAAATTTGCTGTGGGGCTGTCAAACAATCTAGAACAGTCCGAGTATGCAGAACCAAGACCCACTCCAGCACCAAAAGCCACAGAAGCCCAGCGAGTCACAGGACTCCCTAATAGAAAAAAAAAAAAAAAAAAACACAGCACAATCTAATATCAATGTCTAATAGTCGCTCAACATCACGAAAACAGGGAAATGAATAGTGCATAATGACTCAGGAAATAACGCAAACAGTCGAACACTAACAAACATACAAACACTTTTACTTCATATTAATTCAATGCTACAAATTCAGTTGCCGCAATGTCATCCATTACATATTCACTTGCTACCTACTTTTAAAAGACAATTCTTCCATTTTTAAGTATATATACAAGTAATACAACCCAAGCAAAACCCTCAACACCAGCCAAAATATCAGGAACAACAACATCGGCATCAGTATAGGGGATTACTAGACCACTGCAGCATCTTCATCAATCCCCATTTCCTCTATATCTATGAATTTTTACTGCACTTATCCATTAACACAATCGATTATTGCACATCAATGTTGACCTAATATCACCTTCACCAAAAAATTCAACAATTTTCAACACAATCTCAACTTCAAAGCCCTAAAAATCTGTTGCAACCCCACAAAATGCCCTAAAATCGAAATCCCAGAACAACCCATTAACCCAAAACCATATTTCCACATTACCAAACAAACAACCAACATAAACAAGAACAAATCTAAGAAATTATCATCAAAAACATAAAACTACGCAGCACATTTGCATCATTAGCACAATTCATTCAAAATAAAAGTATAATTGAAATTGATATAAAAAAGGGGGCAGCAAATTAAAGGAAAAAGAGACTGACGGAAGAGAAGAAGGCCGGAAAAGGCGCCGGCGACGGAGGAGTAAACAAAGCGGCGAAGAGAGAGATCAAGACAAGCATCCCATTTGGCATCCAAGTCGTATTCTTTTCTGTTTTCCGCCATTATTGTTCTTCAACTTTTGCTTGTTGTTGGGTCTTAATTTGCAGATTTTGATTTTGATGTTGCCGTTTTTGCTACTCCTATATGCTTTCTTCGTCGTCTTCTTCTTCTTCTCTGATGAGAATTTGAGATGATTCTTCGGATTTTCTGGGTGATTGATAGAGTAAACAAGGGTACCCAGATGATTTTTCAGTATTTTTTTTATTTCGGGCCTTTTTGTGGTTTTTATTAAAATGGTTTATGGCCCAAGTTTCTTGGATCATGATATATTGTTGATGAACTTGGAAAAAATGATTCATGATTCATGGTTCAAATTTGATTACCCAACTTGGATCACTATTGTACCCAATTACAAAACCGCTAAATTGATCCGATATTATGACCTAAAAGCGTGGTTAATCTAATTAATGATAATATGACCACAACAAAGAATGATTTCAAGGATCTTTTACTGTTTATCATATATAATTATAGTGAATGTCAACTAATTTAGTTAGTTGAAATATTGAGAGGATAATTCTCGGCCATTTTATTGTTTATAGAGCCCAAAATGAGCCATATGTAGAACTTTGAACACAACAATAATTTTACCATGTAGTATATAGTTAAAACATTTTATATTTGGACATTTGAAAGGGAATGTGTATTTCATGATATCATCTCTTCCGTGCATGGTATATTTCACTGATGAGGCATTCTATTTAGAATAGGTTTTTCAATTTAGTGAAGTGCATTCTTAGTAATAGATGAGAGTGAACTATCACATGGTGTTAGAGATATATCTCATATCTCTAACATAACATTGAAAACACACTAGTAAAATGCTAAAAAACACTAAACCTAATCTCTCTTTTGGCAAGTCATGTAATACTCATTATAAATCTAGTAACACTACATGTTATTTCACTTATTTGTATCATAAAGTAATGTTGTTATTTACCATATAATACTTGATCTAATGGTAAGATAACAACCTTAAACTTGTAGTATCAATCTCGTGGGGATTCCGTTACACTTTTCTCCACTCACTAAGGGATCTTACATGTTAATTGTCGATTTGTTTTATTTGTATCAAGGTGGAACTCGTGCAACTAGCCAACTATCTCTCGCTTATTCACACAATACACTTTTTTTTTTTTTTGTCTATAGAGCGATCCTGAAACCGGGAGGGAAACTCTAACCCCCTAAGCTATTGTTTTAGTGAATCCTCACTCTCAGTACAATAGTACACTAATTTTTTTTATTATTTTTTTTATTAATTTACAAAAATAAGTTTTTTTAACTTCCTAACCCAAACAAAAGCTCATCAAAAAACAACTCGTTTAAACACACAACAGCACCTGCTACACACCCCTTAATTACCCACACCAATTCACAAGCAGCGCATCCACCCAAATGCAACTAGCAGCTCGTCGTCACTCACCAACTCTGCTCACCATCGCTACCCAATTCCGCCATCTCCGGCGTCCCTCAACCACCAATTCATACAACCGTAGCCACCAGCAACCTTTACGGCGACCTGCACCTTTCCAAACGCTAGCAAACACCAGCAATGACCAACGATCAAAGTAGCAGCACCACAAGTCACTCGCAAGCAATATGCGAAACCCCAATTCACCAATTTGGCTCACAAGCAGCGGCAATTAGCAATTAATGCTCCAATTGAGGCCAAATAAGTTAGAACCTTTAGAGCGGTCGCTCTGTATTTCGAAGCAGACGCTCTCAATTTGTTCAATTTTTAGAATCGAGGCATGAAGCTCGGAGCGGACGCTCTAATGGGTTGTGCGGCCGCTCCATCGTGGGCTTGTCTTTCTTAATTCTCACGTGATTTGCGCGTGAATGGAGGTGCTCATTAATATCGGGCGGTCAAGATTGTTTGCTAATGATTGTTGATAACGATTAGCGATGATTGATGATGCTGATGAATGGTGATGAAGATGGATGATTGTGATGATGATAAGCAGAGCAGCCACGAACGAGAAAGCAGGGGAATTGGGCGTCATTGACTCATTTCAATAACCGACATTTTTCGATTAAAGCAAAAAATTTAATTAAATCAGCTAATTTCCTATTGGTTAACCTTAGGTGATTATGTTTTTAACCCTAAGTCACTAAGTTTTTATCCCCCATTTAATTTTCCTCACCGGAAAAGTGTCTTCAATCACCAAATTACAAGCAAAAAAAATTGATCACCAAAAGGTGAAATTGGTGAAAACTTGATCACCAAATGTTACCTTAACTCAAAAATAAAGGATTAGTAGGTCACATTTCCACCTAAGCTGGACTCATATGACTTTTATCGTCTACTACACCAACTTCTTTTCTACACTGTAAAAAAAAAAAAAAAAAAAAAAAAACAGAAAAAAAGTTCAAAAGGGCCAAAAACGATGGGCAGACAGTAAAAAACCATAAAGAATCCGATGATATTCAGTTTGACTACAAGTGAACATTCCCATATTTCCTTATTTTTGCTCCCTTTTACTATAAAAATCTAAAATACTCTCACTTTTTTTTTTCTTTTTTATTTTTAAAAATCAATAAAAGTAGATTAAAGATTTTCAATCACAATTAATTTGTCCTCCACGTGTTAATTTCCCCTTCTTCTTCCTCCTTTTGTCCTGTCTTCTCAATAATTTTCCCCTTTTTTTTCTGCACTTTGGATTCTCCTTTCTCCTCCCTAAACGCCGCCGTTTCACTCCCTACCTCTCACTCACTATCTTTCCTCTTTCTCTATCCTCATTCACTCCACTTTCTCTCTCCTAAAATGGCAGAATCTACTCCCCCTTCCACCACTGCTCCTCCGCCGGAAAACCCATCTCCGGCGATACCAGAATCAGAATCTCCGGTTAAATTAGCTGAAACGGAGACTCATGTACCTAAGGAAGAAGAATCTCCGGTGCCAGAAGAAGAATCTCGGGCGAAAATAGAATCTGAAACAACCCCAGAACCACCAGTTTCAGCACCTGCAGTTCAAGTTGAAGAACACACAGAATCACAAACAATTACTGAATCTGAGGATACCCAGATTAAGGAACCTAAAAAAAGCAGCTTTATTCAATCAGCTGTTTCTTTTAAAGTGGAAAGTAATCTTCTTTCTGATCTTTCAGATTTTGAGAGAAAATCCCTTGAAGATTTTAAAACCCAGCTCAAACAATCTCTCTCTGATAAAACCCTTTTGCCCAAATCATCAAAATCAGCTGCAAGTTCAGCTTTAAATACTATTGAATCTGCTTTAAAAGAGGAGGATGAGAAAAACCCAGATGAAAATGATGGGGAAGTTTCAATTTGGGGAATACCCTTGTTGAAAGATGATAGAACTGATGTAATTTTACTGAAGTTTTTAAGGGCAAGAGATTTTAGGGTTAATGATGCTTTTTCAATGCTTAAGAATACCCTAATTTGGAGGGAGAATTTTGGGATTGATAAATTAGTGGATGAAGATTTAGGGGATGCTTTGGAAAAAGTTGTGTTTATGCATGGACATGATAGGGAAGGTCACCCAGTTTGTTATAATGTTTATGGGGAGTTTCAGAATAAGGATTTGTATACCAAGACTTTTTCAAGTGAGGAGAAGAGAGAGAAGTTTTTGAAGTGGAGAATTCAGTTCTTAGAGAAGAGTATTCGAAAGCTCGATTTCGATGCTGGTGGTGTTAATACTATTTTTCAGGTTAATGATTTGAAGAATGCTCCTGGTCCTGGTAAAAGAGACCTTAGGTTGGCTACTAGACAAGCTCTTCATTTGCTGCAAGACAATTATCCTGAGTTTGTTGCCAAACAGGTATATTTCCTTGAATTTATAGATGTTGTATTAGCATCATTAATCCTCGGTTGCTGTTATTGTTGTTGCCTACACTTGGAAATGGTAGTTAGTATTGTATCAATTTTGTGTTAGCATGATTGTTAATAATTGGATGTTGTACACTATATGTTGATTGATCCTGGTGATGCTTATTGTTTAGATGAAGATAGCTTGATTTGTATTATAATTCGAACGAGCTAGTTGATGTTCATGTTAATTGCATAAGAACTTTGAGTCTACCTTGGGTGTGTGGCACTGTGACAGCCTGCTACTCGGTAGTTGGCTTGATATCATATATTGCATCCTAAGTTTAAAGAGTGGCACTTACTTGAATTAGAAATATTTTTCTGAACTTTCATTTACCAAGTTTCCCCATTTGATCTAATGTAAGAAGCAAACATTCAAACATATATAGTCTTCTCAAGGATGTAGGAAGTATAACTCTAAGAAATTATTGGTTCCTAATAAATTATGTGTTACGAAATTAATTCGTAGGTGTTCATCAATGTGCCTTGGTGGTATTTGGCCTTCTACACTATGATGAGCCCATTCATGACCCAAAGAACAAAGAGCAAGTTTGTGTTTGCTGGACCCTCAAAAACTGCTGAAACCCTTTTCAAGTCAGTACCATTCTACCTCTTCCCCTTGATCTCTATTAAATTTGGTGGTTATACTAAAGTCAGATTTGTATTTTGGATGCAACAGGTATGTATCTCCCGAGCAAGTTCCTATTCAGTATGGTGGCCTTAGTGTTGATTATTGTGATTGCAATCCGGATTTCACTGTGGACGATCCTGCTACTGTCCTAAGCTTAAAAACTGCAACAAAACAGTTTGTGGAAATCATATGTTCTGAGGTAGGTTTTGCTCCAGTTTCTCAATTAGTGACATAAGTTTCCTGTTTTAATGATTTATTTGTAAGTTTAATTGCTATTATTGGATTTTGTAGAAATGTATCATCGTTTGGGAGCTTCGAGTAGTGGGATGGGACGTCACTTATAGTGCTGAGTTCGTGCCTAGCGCTGAAAATAGTTACATCGTGGTTATACAAAAGTCAACCAAGATGACCTCAAGTGACGATCCTGTGATATCTGGAAGCTTCAAAGTAAGTGAAATTGGTAAGATAGTCCTCACAGTTGACAACCCAACTTTCAAGAGAAAGAAACTCCTCTACAGGTACAAAGTGTTGCCTTTCTCTGATTGATGATGATGATGTTGCACTAAGCTAGTTCAAGACTATTGCCAACATTGCTATAAATGAGTGTTGATTTCCTTGTTCAAAATGTAGATGAATTTCCACTTCAAATTTTCATTGGTTCATATCTTTGGTTTATAATTTTGTTTCTTTTTTCAACATTCTGGAACTTTTTGACCCATTTTCTTTCCTTTTGGAGCATATGTTAAGTGCTAACTGATTAGAGCGCTTGATTGGTTTTGGCTTGTTGATCCATTAGGAAAATAGAACCATAGGGTTTGTGTTGAGTGTATAATGATTGTAAAAACTCGTAAAACTTTGTTGTTTTATTTTATCTGTATACTTGTTTTATGGATGTTTATTCAATTGTTGGAAGCGTAATTGCCCATCTAGAAATCCATTTTATTACGGAGTAATTTCTGGGAATATCTTGGTATAAATAAATACTTAGTGAGAATTACAGATATAATTAGATAGTCCTTCAAAACCTTGGTGCTAAGTCACTTTCAGGTTTTTATATCTATGGAGTAGTTCTTTCTGACATGATTTTCGATTTATATTTTCTGTAATTATGTCACATTTTTTGTACTTCAAATATCATTTATATCACAAGAAGTAGTTTCTGATATGAATCACATCTCAATTAGGTGTACTGGCACTTTCAATTTATGTCATTTGGAACTTTTTCTGGAAATTATGATACCCTTGACAGCTATAGACATTATTAGACTAATATTGTCTTTTGAAGGAATCAAATGATGCCAAGCCACCAACTTACTAGTCTACACACACATTATTTATTATGGAGTATTCTATTAAGCTTGTTTTCTGCAATAAAGTTAAGCTGAAATAATCGTTGCTGATGCAAGATGCCACTCTACTTTAAGGGTATAACTGTATAAGTCCCTTCGGCTTGTTTTTCGCTTGAATTTCCCTTACCTAACTCGTTTTTTCATGGCGGAGCCTATGTTAACTTACTTGCCTTGCAAGTTTGAGTGCAAGAGATGGGTTGGAAAAAGGAAGCAGATATGGAAAAAGAAAAGTAAAGTCAATAGAAATTTAGAATAGCGAAATTTAGGTATTTTATGACAATGGTTGTAGAGTTATGTTTGAGAAATCCCAGGAAAAAATATTCCCAATCAACAAATCATACTACTTTCATCATCTGACTGAACTAACCAACCGCGAAGAGAAGCTTCTGGCTCTGTATTCAGGTCAGATGACACAACTCGAACTCTAGTAAGCAGCTTCTTCTTCTTTGAACTTGTATTACGAATGGTAAGTACCAGTTTTCCAGGCTCATCTGCACTGAAACCCTCAGAAATTACAGGTTCATCATTCGCTGTAAGCTTCCTTGGCCTTGATATAGCTGTTATGTAACTTTCCTTAGAGTCAGGTTCAAACTTCGCTTCATATATAGCATCCCAGCTTATCATCCTAAGATCCCAGAGTACATTACAGGGCTGCAGGTTGTAGTGGCATATCATGTAAACAATCAGAATATGGTATTCTTGTAGGAGACAGTTTCTTATAGATGGTGTAAGAAATTAAACCTAGCAAGTTCAGTATAAAATAGGTTCGGATATGACCAGATCCAAACGACTCCTTTGTCACTTTTAGATATATCAGGCATTTACCTTTGTGAAATGGAACTCGAGTCTCTGTGTGCCAGAAGGACTGATGGTAACATTAGGACTAACATCATTACTGCTAGATTGGTGAAAATCTTGTTCGTTATCTCTGCTTAGACCGCCATATTTCACTGGCACTTGTGCAGGAGATATGTATCTGTTATGAGCGTCAAATACAGGGATCATAATAAGGTAGAGCAAGGATAAAAACTGAACAAAAAGGGGACTAGGGAGCAAGAGGCGTTACTGACGTGAAAAGGGTCTCGATGGTTTTTGTTTGACCTGAAAATACTAATTGGTTCGTGCTCCATACATCAAACACCATCGAATAAATCCGGCAATAATTCCGATACCACCAAGCAACATTGATCCACAACTGTTAGACAACTCAAAAAAATTCAAATCCAGAACCAGAAATAATTTGTTAATGATGCAGCACATTCAAGAACCGAATATTAACAAATCGAGTTTGTTAGATACCTGTTTTGCCACAAATTCTGGATAATAATCGCTCAGCATTTGGAGATACTTGTAAATGACCTTGTACAGGTCTCTGTTGCCATACCTTGTTAAGCTTTTAAGATCAATGACTAACAAAATAGAATCATCACCTCTTGTGCTACAAACAATCTTCCTGATATTCTTCTCTGTGAACTTGATCAGCCAGCGAAAAAAATTCCGCCCTTCTTGGACATCGTACAATGTAATCTGGCTACGATTATTGATCAAGACATCCTCCAAAACCAAGTACCATACAGGGTACCCTTCTTTGTCATAACCATGAGTGAACATTACACTCTTGTTATCGTGAATTCCAACGTCATCTTGTAAGAGTAATTCAATGCCCACTTCATTGCGCCAGAGAAGAGTGTTCCTGATCATAGCATATGCATCAAAAACCTCAAAATTCTTCGCTTTCAAGAACTTTAGAATGATAGTATCACTTCTATTATCACCAAGAAGAGGAACTCCCCAGATTGTAGCATGATACCCTTCAAAGGAGGAAACCTGATCATTTCCGGGGCCATTTTGGATAAGGCTTTTCAGATCATGTAAGGCTTTCTTTTGGTATTCTGTAAGTTTACTAGCCACCCTAAACTCTTCCCTGGAGGAGGATGTTTCGCCCGATTTCTCACAAACATCCTCCATAGGTCTTCAGCTTAATTCATGCTATATGCAATTGTGCATGGATTCTACTCCACATATTAGGGAAAATTGTAGATGTTTCAAAATTTTTTGTCAAACTTACTACCAATGCTAGCTGGTGGGATCCACAATTTCAAAGCTTGTTGATTTGTGCACACAGTAAAGACTTGGTATAACTAGCTATAGCAGGCCTTCCATAATGATTTTTTGTTTTTTTTTTTTTTTTTTTGAAAAGCTTTACAAGGTCTTCTCCCAAGGAAAGTGGAGGCTGAATTAGTCTGAACTACAGTTTATTGCTTTGTTATTAGGCTTATGAAGATAGTTTAAACATGGTGATTAGATCTAGTCAGTTTGGCCCAATCAATATGTGAATTGTGAAATGGTTGAAGTACCTTTGTTATGGGTCTAGTCCACGTCTTAAAATTAGCCTAGTAGTTTTAAAAACCCCTTACACAGCTTATAGTCCGTTTGGTTTGATATAAAATGTTTCAGTAATCTATTCTCAAAGTAAAAACTTTTTACCTTAGTTTTACCGAAAATCCGAGATTCAAATTTATTTATAGGTGGCAAAGAGCTAAGCAGGGTTGGTAATTATTAAGCAAAGTTGCATTGCCTCTTTGTTTAAAAAGTAGCTGGGCGCCGCTATTACATGAACATGGGCACTTGGACTGACTAAAAATCATGTACAAGAATAAAACATAAATCTTGGTAACGTCCAAGACATAAATCTTTGGATTCTTCATCAACTTGTTATGTTTATGCAGTTATGCATGTGTCATACAACTTGAAAATGAAACTCAAATTGTATCTTCGACTATAAAATATCCTGCTTAATTTGTGGAATAGAGTCCAAATGACCCCAAAATGGTCCCTAATCTATACTAATTCCCAACATATGGATCTTTAGCTATATTCGAGTGTAAACAAATAATCTAATAAAGTTTTTGGGTACAATGTTGGACGAACCTTTTTATTTTTTGACATGAAATTATAGAGTTTAAGACAAATTTGGAAGAATCTTCAACTCTTACACAAAAAAACTTTAAAATTGGAGTAAGATTGAAAGAATTTATGTTTTTTGCTATAAGTTTGCTATTGTAGTGTCACTAGTGTGTCTCATTGTGTTGGTGGTTGTCCTTTGCATGTATTTTTGCTGCGTTATTACTCCATATTATGTCATTACGAGGGTATGTTTGGGTTATGTATTTATTTTTAGGAATATACTATACATAACTCTAAGGGATTTGTATAAGAAATTAAAAGAGAAAAATATTAATGAGATATATATATTAATTTCACCGATTTGCTCGTGATTTTGTCATGCATTTCTAAATTTACACCAAATGAAGAAAGACATTAAATGCTTATTTGTAGTCATAACATTACGCACCCTTATTTTTAAGGTTTTTTTCGAGTGTATTTTTTAGACTTATTATTTATAAATTATATACGAAGTACATATGTACATTAATTTCGAAGTATAAAAATCAAAATAATATTTTATCACTCTGTATTTATTCCTCATAATATTTGGAAATCATTGAGTTAAAAATTTAGAGATATGTTCTTACTTGCAAAAGGCATTCTTGAAGGCATCCAAATTATAATTATGAGATACTAATCCATTAATTTGAAGGTGGTTAATTAGCACGGGGTTATGATTAGCATACAAATGCATGCAATTGAAAGTACATTAACAAATTTTATGCAAAATAAAGTGAGCATGTGTAAAATATTTGTGAAAAAGTTGATTGAATGTCTGTTGTTGTAACAGAAAATTATAACGAGTGTGACTTTCTAATCATAACTCCATCAGCCTTACTCATGTTTTTGGTCTGAATTTAAGCTGTCGAAAGCAAGATTAATTCAATTAATTCGTGTTGTTGTACAATTTCTCTCTGTATTTTTCTTTCTTTATTATTGTTTTTAGGGAAATTTGCAAACTACTTGATCATTAAATAGGATTCAATTTATTGTCAAATCATTTCAACTATTGAAATAGTTTATTCATGGTCAAAATTGTACTCATTTTAGGTTCCATTAACTGAATTTGTATCAATATAAATATTTTTCAAAAATATAAATTTTTGTAATAAGCATGTAAAATAAAGTAGTTAAAATTATTCATTATCAAAGTTAATATTATTCATATCAAAATTAAAATTAGATATCATAAAACTTCAAATAATACAAACATAAAACCCGATGAAAATATATATGCGGTAAAATGTGAGAGGGCCCTCTGTATATTCAAAATCATCAAAGTTTGGGGAGTATCATTGATTAAGAGTAACGACAAAACACGATTTAATTAATTTAGGGATTAGCCAATCAATATGGTTTAGGACATGATGAGACACTCTATTATTCGGATTCCCTAATAGTCTTCTAGGATGAAGCATACATCAGTAGCGTATTTCATGTCACAAAAGCAATTAATCACTCAAATTAGGCTAAATCTAAACTAGTTTAATACTTGGTATATTCAAAAGGTAAGCATAAATTGGAGATAGGGCCCAAATATAAAGCACAAGTGTATGATTTTGATAAGGAAAGTAAAAGTGTTTGATACTTTGATTTATCTTTTGTTTTCAAGTATGCTTGACAGATGGACTGACTATGTATTACCTTTGACAAATCCAAAATGTAGTATGAATCAAGATAATTAAAAGCAACATACTTAAATTAGTGCTAATCTGGTTTTTTTTTTTTTTTTTTTTTTTTTTTCTGACAATTGCAAAGGAAACAAATAAAATTACAGCAAATAAGTGAAATCTTTCCGACATTTCCTTGCAATGTCGTTAGCTCGTTGAACTTGATCTCTATTAACTTTTAAAATTGTGCATCTTTGAAACGATGCTCCAACTATCCTTAACTCTTTTAGCAGCCAATTAATCGAGATTTCTTTTCCCTGGTTATCTTGTAAACTATTCAGAAGAGAGAGGGAGTCAGATAAGATAAGGATTCCATGTTTTCCTTTAGCCCGAGCCCACTTCATAGCTTCAAGACAAGCCCAGGCCTCACATTGGATGACTGATGCTGTAGTACCATATTTCCCCCCCTCTTCCCTTGCAACACCTTGTATATTATTCTTTACTGCCCATCCTACCCCTGATCTCATTGTTTTCTTATCCTAGGAGCCATCGGCTTCCACTATGAAATTGTCAAAACCAAGCTTTTCCTTTCCTAGCTGCACATAGTTAACCCGGGGGGATAATGGGGTTATCCTTGCTGGCAACCTCCCTCTCGTTTGCTGGACTTCTTTGTTGCCTGAAGATCTCATGATCCTCCATTGCAAGCTTTATGAACTCCACTACCAGACTATTTGTCCCTGTGGACCCTTTAAAGCATATTGCATTTCTCATTTTCCATATACTCCATAGTGATGCTATGAACAAAACACTACAATTACTATTCTTTCCATCCTCGCTATTAAAGAGCAGGATATAGTGCTGAATCCATCTCCTCAAAGAAGAAGAAGACCCAGGGATGTCAGGACAAATAGTTAGGGAGCTATTCTCCCAAACTTCCTTTGCCAGATTACAAAATCTAAACAGATGTTGGCTATCTTCCAAAGCCAACCCACAATAGCCACACACAATTTCAATTTGTATCCCTCGTCTAGCTAGATTACCTTTCACCGCAATTCCGTCATGAAACAACTTCCACAGGAAAACTTTCCACTTCGGTTGAATGTCCATTCTCCAAACCAGCTTTACAAACTCTAGATCCCTATTCAAGGACGTAGTGCTTTCCATTCCTTCATCCTTTGAGAGGTAGTAATACCCAGTTTTAACTGTGTATTTGCCGGAGGGGTGATATTTCCAGTAGAGGAAATCCTCTTCAGTTGAATGCGGGAGCTCCATTGCCAGGATCGCTTTTGCACTATTCCAATCAAAACATTCCCTTATCCTTCCTGCATTCCAAGTTAAAGTATCACTGTCAATGAAATCACTTACTTTGAAATTCAAGGAGGCCCTCAGAGTAAGACCGTCCTTAACTAGAGGGATTTCCCCTTTAACCCACGGCATGCTGACAGCCCTAATACTTTCTCCATTTCCCACTTTCCACGCAAAGCCCTTCTTGAAGGATTGAACAACTTTCTATATACTTGACCTCCCCATGGAAGGATTCCCTTGTCTTCTATAAGGACTAGTAATATGGTATATACTGCATGGTTGCAATCCTCTATGTACTCTTGCTAGCAAAAGCTGTGGTTTTAGGTGCATCCTCGTTGATTGCTTGAATAGAAGAGCGTCGTTAAGAGTCGAAAGTCCCCTTATTCCCAGCCCTTCCATACTCTTCGAAAGTTGGATGATACTTCTACTCACCCAGTGCAACCCCTTATTCCCATTACCAGCCCACCAGAACCGAGTAATTAGGGAGTCAATTTTGTTTGCGATGCTCTGGGGGAGTTTCAGACACTTCATAACATGCGCAGACATGCTTACCAAAACCGTGTTAATGAGGATTAACTTTGTCGATTGGGATAGATGTAAGGGGGCCCATGAGATGATTCTTTCCGCCACTTTGTCAACCAGGAACTGGAAAGAGGAACTTTTTTTCCCCATAATATCAATAGGGGCACCCAGATGAATCCCCATATTCTCAGTCTCTGGCATAGAGAGAAGCTGTTTTATAGCTAATTTTTCCTCAGAGGCGACACCCGGTGAGAAATTTATAACAGATTTCTGGAGATTTAATTGTTGACCAGAAGCTTTCCCAAACCTAGTAAGGATGTCCGCTATGCACAAACATGATTCTTTATTTGTCTTGAAGAAAAGCATAGCATCATCTGCAAAGAAAAGGTGAGAGATCGAGGGAGATCTTCGCGAGACTTTCAGACCCTTAATAAGCTTCTTGATATCTGGTTATGGTTTGTGTACAAATTAAACAACAGTTCATTTTCTGAAATATTTGCTTTTTAAGATGTTTTGATAAATCAAACGAATTGACTAGGGGATTTATTGATGGTAATTGTCATGCTAACCCGACCTACTTGACTACGTCTTGTGCCTACAATGTAGAGGTGTTGTGCCTCGGCCAAGTGCTCGTGTCAATCCACAAACTCTTATAATTCTCGACCATTTTTAAAATAATAAAAACTTATTTTTACAGAGTGGTAAAAAGCTATGATTATAATGACCTTGAATCAATCGAAGTATAATTCATACATCAACAATAACACGTACCTATCCTTTTTTAATTTATAACTTGAGTATTGAAAAAAATTCCAATTAGTGTCACTAGATAAATAATCTTACCCAATTGAAGTTAGAAGAAAGTTAGAAAAAATATTAAATTTTATGAATATACAAGTACATAAGGTTAAGAAGATAAGCTTGCACGAGCTGCCATCCCCATCAGATTGAAACATCAGTGAAAATTACATGAAATAATTTGTCCCTACATGATAACTTATAATATATCAACAAATTATTAGTACCAATTAGTCTCATCTTTCAAAAAGTAGTTGATCAAAACCATCAATTCTATAGCTTCTAAATCAAACCTACTTATAATTAATTCAGAAGAAAATTCCAGAGAACATACTGCTGCTAAATGATAATTATCCTTTAGATTTATTTATTTTTTTTTATTTTTTTTTTTGAGTGGAAAAATTGGACTTTAGTTTAGTAGTCTCTCAAGACTCTATTATAGCAATAAGACCCTTTTGGTCCCTCATATCATGTTATCTACATTCTACACAACACATATAATCATAATGTTCATGTGTTCATGTTCATGTTCATGTTCATGTTCATGTTGAAGTTGCTAAAGTTTATTCTATTCACTTTCATTTTGACATTTACACCTTGTTATCATTTCAGCTTCCTTTGTAAATTTGTAGGTATTTGATTCATTTCTAGATTAATGAAAAGGTAATACTTGAATTGAAGATGTTATGCCCTTCCTTTTTGCAAGATGTGCAAAATATTTTCTTTCCTTTGACAGTATATTCTATAGAGATATCATGTATCTTTTGATTGTTTAGTTATTGTTATTCGTATGATGTTATGTTGGGTATATTTGGCATGTCATATATATATATATATATATATATATATATATAGGGAAGGGATCCGGTAAGAACCCCTCCCTATATAAGAACCCAAGTGTATATAAGAACCAATCTAATCCGTACAATTTGATTGAATTAAACGGTCAAGATGAAATCAAGTATTAAGATAATACTCCATATAAATCCGGTAAGAACCCCTTCCACAAAAACATCTCGTTGTTTTCTCTCTCCTCAAACCCCCAAAAATCTCCATTATTAGAGCGCATTGAAAGACTTTTTCAGCGATTTTCAGTCATTTCTCTTGCAATTTGGTAAATTAAGGTATGTTTGTTCAAGCAATTTAATTTCGGCGCTTTTGTTAATTTTTTTGTTCTCGAATTTTTAAGGAATTTGTTACGAAATTGCATCTATTATGTTTGATTTTTGTTTTATGTTCGAAATTGCATCAACATTTTATTGCCTGCTATTTTAGGGCTCGATTTCTGCGATTTTTTAAGTGATTTTTTTTCCAATTTATGGTTCGAATTTTCAATTGCAACTTTGTTCGATGTTTTCCGAATTTTCAATATTTTTGTACTCCAATTTTATTTGATTTGTACTGCAATTTTGTTCAATTTTGTACTGTAATTGTCCGAGGATTTTTTGATATTTTCATTTAGTAAGGTTACCTCTGAAAAATAGACTGGAATATACTACGATTTTGTACTGCGATTTTTTTTTTGGCCTATGTTCTAAATTAGTTCTATGCTATAAATTATTTATACAGTGTAGTGAATTGATTAGATGTAATTTGCAGCATTAGTATACTTAGGTTAATTGATTAGCATTATTATACTTCGTATCAATGTTCTAAATTACATGTTCGATTATTCATGATCATGTTCTAAATTTAAGTGTCGTATGTTCTAAATTTAGGTGTCGTATGTTCTAAAGATGTTCTGGCTGGGTGCGGCATGTAGAGGAAGTTCAGGGGAGATCCTTTTGTGTGCTGCGTTTCAGAGCTTAGAAAAGTGGTAATCGGGGGTGGGGGAAGCCAAGGCTGTTTTCTAGGGGCTACATATGGCGAAGGGGACTGAATTCATATTATGAAGGTTCCAAATGCTCGTTTTTTATGTAGTTTGTGCTGCTAAATGGTAAACATTTGTGGTTGAAATTGTGGAATTACGTAGGATGTTGTTATGAAGTGAAAAAGGTTCCAAATGCTCGTTATTTACCAGAAAAGAAATAAGATATGAGGAATATCCTGCAATATTCTTAGATACTCGATTTTTACAGATAATTAAGCTCAAAACCTTTGAAATTTATGTGATTTCCCTACTCAATCACCCAAACTCCAACCCAAGTCCCCTTACTCTTTCTCTCAACTTCAAAATTTTGCTCTGATTTCTGATTTTATACCAGGTATTATTTCTTTCTCTAAACTTGTTAATTATACCATAATTGAAGCTTTTTAATCCAATTGATTTGACAAATTTAAGCTATAATGTGTTGTTACTTGAATTCAGAATACTTAAAAATGTAATGGGTTGTTGAAAGATTTGTGTTTTATGAGTTGTTTGTTGTCATTTGTTTATGCCTGCTACGTGTTTGCTAATTTGTCTGTGTGAAAAAGGTTCCAAATGCTTATTTTTTCTGTAGTCTGTGCTGCTAAATGCTAAATACGAAGGGGACTAAATTCATTTTATGAAGTGAAAACCCTCCCGGAGTGGATTAGGAAACTCACCCACCTACACTGCCTTTCAATTAGAAACTGTCCAGACTTAATAACACTTCCTGAGTCACTTTGTGACCTATCTGCTTTACAAAGGCTTTAGATTTAATGTTGCCCACTGCTCAAACCATTTCCCAATTCTGTAGGTGGCATGGGGTCTTTAAAACAGCTTAAGGTTCCACAATGTCCAAAGCTATTTAAAAGATGGAGGACAGATGGTGAGGATTCTTCTATCATACTAAAGGTCCCTTATCTCATTTTTAATGACTGATGTATGTATAGCCTTTTTTTGTGTGTATAATTGTATATAATTGTACAATTTTTTGTTTTAGATTACTAATTTCTCAGTTTCCGACTACCCATATTTCATTATGTGGTGTACTCGTGTTTATATATGATGTCTACTCATTTTTATATTAGTTTATATGAATAAGCTAATATTACTAGAATACCCATATTTCATTATGTTGGTTTGGTTTGGTTTTGCAACTAATTATGCAATTTTCAGAACGGAATCAATGGATGAACATCCAACTCTATATTTTCCTCTGTCAGACTGATTGTAATTTACTTGATAATACTTCCTAGTAGTAGTTGTGTTGGGTAATTTGTAAGCATGTGTTGGGTAATTTGTGAGCTATGGTGGTTGTTGTAGTAATAATGGAGGCATTTGAGTTTCTACATGTGATTGTTTTCCTCTGCTTCTATGGGAGGGCGTTGATCTATATCAAAAAACTATTAGCTCAAATGGTAGAGCACTATGCAAATGCATAGATGATGTAGGTTCGAATCCTACATAGGCTATATTTATAAATAAAAAAAAAAAAAAAAACTTTAAAACATAGGTAGTAAAAATTTAGAACATAGGAAAAAAAAACATTAGAACATAAGTAGACTGAATTTAGAACATAAGCAAAAGAATTTAGAACATAAGTAGACTAAATTTAAAACATAGGAAAAAAAATTTATAACATAGGTAAAAGAATATTTAGAACATAAAAAAAAAAAACTTTATTAAAATATAGGTAGTAAAAAATTAGAATATAGGAAAAAAAAAAACTTTAGAACATAAGTAGACTGAATTTAGAACATAGGCAAAAAGAATTTAGAACATAGGTAAAAGAATATTTAGAACATAGGAAGAAAAAAAACTTTAGAACATAGGAAAAAATTAGAGCATAGGTTGAAAAAATTTAGAACATAGGAAAAAAAACTTTAGAACATAAGTAGACTAAATTTAGAACATAGAAAAAAAAATTTGAACATAGATAAAAGAATATTTAGAATATAGGTAAAAG